CTGGATGAATTTGGATGAAATTTTCATGTGGAGGTTGTGTAATTCTGCAAGCCCTCAAAATCGTACTTTCGGATATCCTACGAGCGGTCATAACAAAAGATGGATGACGAAATTTCGGTGGGAAAATCGAACAAGGCCAATTTAATACAATCTAAACGCACATTTGGGGAGAACGCATGAGGAAATTGTGTGTGTTGCTGTACGGAACACAATTTCTGAAGTGTAGTTACCATTAACCATCTCAGCACCAGATATTCCCTCGAAATAAAGTGGGCTTTGTCCCAGTAATGCATACAAATGCAAAAATCTTACTTTGCTGAAACAATTCTAGGAAAATTAGTGTATTATAAGTATGTAAGACATTCATAACTTTCAGTTGCATATATTAACATTTTAAAACTTTACGTGCGTTACGCCAAATACATGAATTTTGTTTACAGTCCAGTTTTGTTACGTAATATGGAGAAATTAACACATAAAATGTTAACAAAGGCAGCACAGAGAGATGAGTTATCTTTACTTAAATACATAGGATTATAACCAAAGTATTAAAAACGAAAAGTCTGTAAAATACAAATTAACATACAAAACCTCAATAACCCAGTCTTCAAAAAGTCCTTATCTAAACAGCGAGATTTAACAACTGACATATAAAGAGTCCCAACTAGAAATATATAAGGCAAAGATGTCGCGCATTTAAACTTCGATACATGAAACATATAAAAACCATAATATCTAATAGATCAGCTGACTATTGCTTCCAAAATATTTTAGTTAATAAACATTTTTATGGGATATATTACGCATGACTCAAATACTGTACACTGAAACCAAAATTTCTGCTTTCAAAATTATTCACAACTGTTGACAGTAACAGATGGCAGCACTCTGCGCCCTCCGACCTGCATATCCTCCTCACATTTCAACACTTGAACACAATTCTTATATAAGTACTTGCCTTCTTTGTTCCACCCTACTCAAGTACAGGCGTACAGAACACATACGTGATTAAAAATGTATTTCCACATTTCAAATTTCGACTCCGGTTGAACACTTCACATCTCTTTTTATCTCTACGATGCAGAAGTCATCTATTCCACGTTTAATAAGTGTAAAGTCCACAATTATGACGCATAATATAAAGTGATGGAACTTACATTATCCTTTTATCTCACAAAACATTTCAAACAATTTTAAAGCAACTTCTTTTAACTGTTGGGCCCTTTTTGAACAGTGGTCCCATTCGAATTTATTTTACATTTGTGTTACTTTTAATTTAAAATTTGCCTTACTTTTAATAAACAGTTTTAACTACACCACTTTGTAATATTATCATAATATTTAACTTTAATTTTAATTTTATTTTAACCTGAAATTGGCATAACGTAAAAAGATTGGCCTGAGGATGGCATAATTGTATCGAAACATGTCGCCATAATAATGTAACATGAATTTTAGAATATTAAGTCTATTGAAGGTGTCAGTTGCTACGTAATAACATGCGGTCCTACTATACGAGTATATTAACCCTCTGAAATCGAAGTCGATTCTCCTACTATACGAGTATATTAACCCTCTCAAGTCGAAGTCGATTTAAATATTTTAAAATTTAGCGGAAGAAAACATTACAGCGATCAATTGGTTAATGCTCTTAAGGAAATTCTACCTGTTTATTCTAAGAATCATGCGAAACCCATAAATACAAAATACAGTAATTGATATCTAAATCACGTGGTACATATAATTACCACTGGGCTTTACTCGATATTAGTCCTGTCCTACGATCAATATCTAACTACCTTCTTCTAAAATAATTATTAGGAAATGTAAATATGTAGTTTTATCATGTTTTGTACAATAAATATAAAACTTTTTAATAACTTTTACGTAAAATCGATGCCCTGAGAATAGCGGAACTTCTCCTAAAATGTCTGGAACTTTTTAATATTATATTATACTTTGTTTTGTGTTGTATTATATGATTCAATTAAGTCTAATTATGAGTTACCGATACCACTTAAAATTAAAATTAAACCACACGAAATTTAATTTGAATTAAAATCCACGCTAGACGCCTGTTTGCTGCCATAGGTTAACATTTATGGGGGTTACGCTCGAATCTTGATGAAAATGACGAAGAAACACATTTTTAATATTTTGGTCGTCGTGTTTTTATATAGAGGTTACCTACTGCAGTTAGTAACTTACGTGGTAATGCGTCCTTCCACACTCTTATGCTGTCGTATTGGATTACACATTTCTCCCAGGTTTTCGCTTTTGTGTAAATTTTACGTTTCTAAATTTTGTGTTAATATCTTACCTGTTCCATTAATTTTTATTGCAAAATCTTCTTATTAAATGGGTTAATAATGGCGGAACAAGGCTTCGAAACGTCTCACTCATTTCCAGAAAATTCTGTCTTCGTCAATATTCTCAAGGTCATTGGTTATGTAACATTTAAATGAGACTCAAATGTGGGACGTTTCGGCATAATGATGGCACAGAAACCAGTAAAGCGACTGTTAATGACACATTTGTTATCTCTGCCATTTGTATGTAGCGTAGTAATGAAATTACTTTTTGAGAATATTACGTATAGATCAAATCGCTAGAAATTACTCCGGGTTCCTGCGTGCGGTGTGCGTGATATTCGATGACTGAGCTCACTGATCATATCTAAACACAGATTAAGATATAAGTACTCGTTCCTCGTCATTAAGCGAACATATGTATCATAATGAAAATTCTGTGAATGTTAATAAGAAGTTTGTCACAGCGTTGCACATCCGTGAGCGATTTCAAATGACGGACAAAAGCGAAGCGTGGAGCGTAGATACGAGATAGCACTATACGTCCGGTCATGCGAGCCGATAGTTTAGCTCGCGTGAGAGTTCTGTTTTAAGTTGTATAATTGTATAGGAGAGTGGAACGGGAGACAGCATGATTGATGTCTGTCCTTTATTGAATAGAACCTGATTTATTTCCGATGCAGTTGTGTTTAGATGCTATATAATTTGTTATTATTGTCTTGTACTACAGGTAATTCTCGATTTACGAACGATTTCCGTTCCAAGACGTTGTTCGTTATGTGTATCTTGCATTCCTGAGCTTTTACGATACGTTTAGTATACGTTAGCAGCCATTTTAAAATATTAAAACCATGTACTAATTATCATATAATAATTTTCTGATAATTATTGTAATAAATACATTTGTTAAAAGTTTATTTATTTAAATCTTACAGTTATATTCACTATACGTTTGACATTTCGTTTTATAAGAAACTCTATCTATTGGCGACTTAAATAAATTTTGAATGAATTGTGATGTTCGTTATAGCAAATGTTCCTAAAATGTTCGTAAATCGAATGTTCGTAAATCGAAAGTTCGTAAACCGAGAGTTGCCTGTACCGGTCTCAAAATCATTTTTTTAGAGTGTTCATCCAATAGTTTCCACCTGCCTCGTTTTTAATTTCATATTATCGGCCTTCGTAAGATGCACTCCGCGTTCAGGAGGTCAGTGGTTCTGACCCCTGCCCTTTCACACTGTCTTCATCGAGGGCTTTGTTGTTTTTCTCAGTCCCTACAGGTAAAATCAAAGGTAGTGTCTGAAAATGTCACGATCTATACATTTCCATTTTATAATTCGCACAATGACACTGCATTCGTCAGACTATGTCGACGTCACACTGCCATTTTTTTTTAAAGAAGTTGAAACTTTCCGTCAATTCTGTGCTTATCCGCCCTTTCGAACAGACTGGCTATGTTTTCGTGTCATTGTAAGTCCATCACACCTTCACACTTCAAAATGATCACATCCAAAATACTTAAGAAAATATCACAGAATTCGCACTGTCGATATTATGCGTAGAATTACGACTGTTTCTTCAGTGAAATGTCTTAAAATTGCAACGGAGATCATTTAGATGTAATACTTTCTCTAACAACCATTTTAAAATACGCTACACTTCGGGGTTTCATCCTCAAAATAAGAAGTAGCCTACAAATTGTTATTGTATATCAGATACAAGCTGTTAAAAGTATCGGAGTTCAAATAATTCGTGTGAGTTTTCCAGGTAAAAATTGTGAGAGATACAATTTGTTTCAGGAGAAAATTTAAAATAATAAACTCTGTGGTAGTTTGTGTACATTTAAATAAAATTTATATTTCGGCATATTCAATGGTAATTTGTAATTTCTGAACTGGTATTGTTAAAGATAATTCAAATATAGTGGGGGTTTCTTGGCCCCTGTGTCCAACAGGAACACTTTTCTGACCCGAGCGAGGAAAAGAGTTGGACCTCCCTGACATAAGTAATACTGCGTCTTGCATTGGTTTGAATCATTCCGAACAATAAGTGTTCTGTGATGTGTTAATACATTCATTTTTGTGTTGAGTTAACGTAACAGTCCATTGCCAGACCAAAGGCGTACGATTGAGTATAGAATATTGTTCCAGGTCTACCTGACTTTGGGGTACACGCCCAACTAGGGCTCCCTCCTCTGGCACCAGACCCCTTTTGGCCCAACGCGGCTGCACTCGGGTTTGGCCCGATGTTCGGGTTGGGCAGTTTACCTCCAAACGCCGCCGCCGCGGCTCTGGGGATCCCGTGGGGCGGGAAGAGTCCAACTCCAGGTCCTTTCCACACTTTGTTGTCGCAGTACGTACTGGCCGGAGGCGCATTGCCGCTCCCTGCAGGTCTAGGGCTTGGTGGTCTGGGCGGATTCACCTTGCAGCCACCTCCACCTCCGCCTGCTGCAGCTGGTTCGCCGCCCCCAACAGACGGAGAGCCTGCCGTCTCCAAGACGCCGCCGTCCCCAAGCCCCCCTCCGTGTTCCTCTACCTCGGAGACGAGGAAAAATAGCATCGAAGCCCTTAGGCTCAGAGCCAAGGAGCACCAGGCTCTGATCTTAGGACAACACCAGAGGCTCGTGGCGACACCAGCGGCCACCACGAAATCAGTGCCGCAAGTTCAGGCCAAGTCGTAAGAACACGTCGACTGTGATACGTGCAGTGTTTAGTGATTAGATCCAAGGACTACGCCTCTCTGGAGGATGCAGGGTGCAGATACCAGAGCGATTAGCTCAGGAGATACGAAAGAACTGAGTTCTGAATGAAGACTAACCTCAGGTGACTTGAAGTACGTTGAACTCCTACCTTGGGTCTTTGAATGATAAAGTTTAGCTTAAGTCAGGTTCTGTGAACGTAAACTGGTATATAAAGTATTAGTTAAACACAGGAGAAGTAATTCTTCTGCACGTTTAACCCATTGAGAGAAGACTTTGTTTTGTCTACTTATATAAAATTAACTGATAGGAATATTGTTATAACAAATCTATCGCAGGACTTAGGTAGGCCGTAATATATGTTTCCCAAAGTTTAAACTCTTTTTATTTGTGTTCAGTTACATTTTACAGTCGTTCCGTTCCGACCTGTAGTCGAAATGTGTCAGTGGGTTGATGGTGCGTGAATTATGGACAACGCCCAACGCAGAGTAAGAACGTGGACTCTTCCAGGTGGCTATTGAAGTTTTACTGATTTCAAGGTCAGGTTTATTTTAACTTAGGCCCCCAAAAAATAAATTGTTATTGCAGTGTTCCTTGTAAGATAAGTTACTCATTCCTTCTACGTTTCCAGTCGAATAAGCGGCGTATTTATTACGTATTTGACGATTAACAATAATTTTCTATGCTGTGACTGAGTAAATGTTAGTGACAGATTCTGCACAATTTTAGTATCCGAGCGAATAATTTTCGGAGCTTGTTTCTTGGGGATGAAGAACAACTGTGGCTGTATTTGTGACGTGGACTCGCTGTCAAAGGTTGAGGATATATTTCAGATGGAATATTTGTAGAAACATAGAAATGTCGTTTGAAGCAGGATTAAATAAGAAATTTACATTAGAAATATTATTTGTTTATTTATTTTATATAATATCGGTGCTCACCAAAATGACTGAGGAGATAATTTAATGGAGTTAAATTGTGGGCGTTGGATGTCATCCTCTGCTGGTTTCTGAGGAAATTTTCCTTCTATCTATGATGAGAAGACTTGTAAGTCCAGTGATGAGATTTGGGGAGTATTTACAAAGTTCTGTTGAACTCATACGCACAAGCACGTCGTAGATCCAGGCGTGAGACCTCCGAACGAAGTCTGCGTATTGAAACACTTGTGAGATGTAACCAGTAAGTTGGTCAGAGGGTATGGGGGTTCTTAAGAAGGATAACTGTCCAATATAAAGACCTATAAATCAGTTTTTGTTTATATGTGTGTGGAATTAAGTCTTAATCTGGAACACTGCAGACGTATTTATGTAATGACGAAACATTATTTAGGGAGTAAATTTATTATAACAGTATTTTTACTTTGGAAATTAAATGTTCAGAAACCCAATAGTTACAAATAAGTCACTTGAGATAAGGCAGTATTTGTAATTATTAATCATTTCGTACGTAGTTCTACGCACAATTTCTATAAGACGCAAGTTAAGATTGTACTACGGAAAACGTAGGCTATAAGTTCGTTATCAGATGATTCTTGGTTAATCCTTTCAATGCTCAAGATGAGATATCTCAGTAGGATTTGACGGTGACTCTGAAGATGGCTGCCTTCTGGGTTGTAGCGCCGTGTAGTATGGTAGTTTACCCAGACTACACGGCTCTACAACTCAGAAGACAGCCATCTTCGTAACATATCTCGTTTAGAGATTTAAAAATATTATTATATTCTCATTTGGTTCCAACTTCTTATTAAAGAGTGTAACTGAAACCTAGAACGTAATTTAACATTTTGTGGCTTTTCAGTAATAATTAGCGTTGACATGGTAACGTGCAAACAAATACAAGGTTCATCATTGGTTTAAACATCACGACATGGAGAGAATATGAAACTTACTTAACGAAGACTTTAGTTAAATTTTGGGTTAAGGCATTATGTGCGTATATACCACGGAATCAGGAAGACAACTGAAGAAAATTTAGAATTTGTTGATTTTAGGTTATATTCAGTTAAAATTATATTTTGTTTTCTGTTTAAACAAGCCTCGTGAGTTAAGACAGCTAAGTCAATAAGGCGACTCATTACAGATGGACGGCCAGGGTTCTGATCCCGAAAGGTTAAAAATTACTCTCATGCTACAGATTTTGTAATTTATTTTTTCTGATGATTGTGTGAACATATTTTCGGGGAATCCTATAGTTGAGTGAACAGTTTCCGCATTTTTTACTGCAGTTAAAAGTTAAGTAGATCTGTTACCTTGTACCTAATTTCATTTTGAAAAGCAAAATTTAAAAATTTTTGACTTGATTTTTAAACGTGCTGCAAATACGGGATATGAACCTGTTTCCAAATCACTATCCCAGTTTTCGAAAACATGCCATTAAACATTTATTTTCTTTTGTGCGCAGTTTAAGATCTTGAAGTAATTTGAAATCACTTCGAAGAAATATAACAGTTGGAGGACCGGGCCCCGTTGAAATGTGATAGGTCCTTATCCAGTTTATGCAAATTCCACCTTCCTAGTCACATACAACGTACCCATTAGTGTAGTATGGTATTTCTGTTAGTGTTATACAAAATGATAAAAAAATTCACAAAACCCATATTAAAATATTTATTAATAGCTTCAATTCAATACATCACGAAACCCATATTAAAATATTTATTAATCTCTGCAATTCAATACTGTTAGATTACATTAATAAACACGCAGTGACGCCATGCTTACACGTCACATAACCTCCTCGCGTCAGTCCCGTCAGTTGTCTTCCAACACTCGAAGAGTAAGGATGTCCTTTTAACAAGTGCAACTCTCCTGTGCCAAACAAGTCGACATTATCATCTGTTACCATTTAGCTTAACTCCTTCAGGGGAAGATGATTATATTTCCACTTTATTTCATTCCTGTTTGGTTTCTAGAATAATTACCCCACTCTCTTTAGTATAAACCCCATTTAAATTTTCGTAGGAAAAATATGGCCCATTTTAGACCCAAAAATGTAGAGCCTAGTGCTTTGGGTTGTAATATGTGGTCTTGTGGTGGTAACCAAAGTTTCAGAGTCAACTATCGCCTCCATCTTCAGAGTATACGTTACTTCAACCGTGAAAACGGGCTTAATAACTTCGTCTAAACCAGGACTTCACCATATCAAACCAAGAAGACGAAATCCGTGCCTCAGAAACGTTGATCGCAGAGAGTAGTCAGTAATAAACACTTAAATTTCAATTCCACATTACCAAAGTGTAGGCTGTAAGTTAATAATGTCTCAATGCAGGATCCGTTATCTGCAGTGATGTTTGAACTTGCCCGACAACAGCCAGGAACTTCCCAAGTGCGTCTCTTATCAATTTCACGCGAGACTAATATTACACTTAATTTATTCTATCCGTGTTACTATGGCCGCCGGGAACCTACAGGTGTCCAGCACCTGCCTCCCGCTTTAAAGACGCGAGCTATATACCTATATATTCAGCTACAGGGGTCATTCTCCGTGATTTCCCTCACCAAAGTCGCAGAGGCCTTCACCCTAAGCGAACCCACCAACTCTGGGTTCAAATCCCTTGTCATTACTAGTAGCTTCATCGTCAGAATCGGAATCTCATATTACTTAAGCTTCAATTTAATCAAACTCAGACGACGTCTCGTGTTCGTGGTGAGATGACACGAAACTGGTTGTGAACTAAGTACAGAGAGTGACGCTTGAGAGACTTCTAATTCCAGCTATGATAACGTAACGAAAAGAAAGGAAAATGTTTAAGATACGTATTGCTTTTGAAGGCTGCGTGTTATGTTTGTCAACAGGGTCGATTTTCTACAGTATTTAGGCAAGACGTGACCCTTACATGTCTACAGACGCAATCGGTAAAACTTTGGGTTTAGTCATATTACATTCTTTCTCACATAAATCAAAACAGAAATCCGAGCAGTGCATGCTACGCTGCATGATTATATAATGCAGAAGCACATTGTGAAGAAGCAGGTGTTTTTCAAAGTGAGCTTAAAAAAATTGAAAGTATATCACTTTTCTTTAGTAATTTTCAGATATATAGTTATACTCTTTGATATTAAGATCTTTCTCAGAGGCCCCTGCTGCCTCCATCATCAATACGATTAGACATCACTCATCGCCCTGATGATGGAAGCAGGAAAGACCTCTGAAACGTTGGTAGATAAGATGATAATTATTCTTACTGTATATCAAATGAATAGTGAGGGAATTATGAAGTTTATAGCAGCATGTTTCATCTGTAAAGACTGAGGAAACGCACGATGGACCTCAGATTAGCCAGCGACTAGTCTTGAGATTCGAAGTGAGTGGCTCTCCCATGCAAGTCAAACCGTTTTACACCTCGCTTTGTCGGAAAAGGTACTTACGAAGTCAGTTGAATGTGAAACAACACTTTGGAAATCCCTTTTCGGCTATCAGTGTTATGATTCCATACTGTTGAACACGAATCCTTCCCATGTTACGAAATATTCTTCCCTTGCTCTGATTTATGCCTGATTTCAAGTACTGAAAAGCCACAAATAGCACTCAAAAATCCATTTCTAAGGGCCAGTGCTTTTGACAGAGTTAACTCGTGCGTAGCACTGAAAGGGTTACGTGCTTGTCACGTGACGTTCAACAAGCAGGCTGTGAACAACTCAGAGTATCTGTTTGCATCTGCCTACCAATGGCGTCTGGAGTAGTGGCTCTCAATACCAACCATTATTGTATATTTATGTATTACTGCTGTATTTATGTGACAAAAGTTCTGTACAGTATGTATCGTAACATTGTAAACAGTTTCCAGTATGTTCTCTAAACATACGGGACGTTTATATCATGTATAATAAAGAATAGTACATTGTACATACCTTTTAGTGTTTAATTTCGTATTTTCTCCATTAATTCCTTTTTAATAATATACCACATCTTGTGATCTATATGCATAAGGTAGTATATTTGCGTCATATTGTGAATTAGGTTAATATTTTAATATTTTCCATCAAATCACAATTTTAATAAGATAATTTATACCTAATTTATACCTGAGGACGGTTAAATGTAACCGAAACATGTCGTAAGAGACGTTCCAATTTGTAAATCGATCATTCGATGCGGAACGTGAAATGATATTTTAAATATTTTATATTTTATTATCTTATTAAAATTGTGATTTGACGGAAAATATTAAAATATTAATCTATATGCAGTTGGATAGTTATCTTCCTTGTAATTGTAAATATCTTATAGAATATTATTTTATTTTATATTTTGAAATAACTTGTTGCTTAGGTACAAATTCTGACTACGTTAAAAATGCGGAATATAACCTCTAAATTTTAATATTGCTATGTTTACGTCTTAGAAACAATATTAAAACTACTACCACTGTTTATAAT